GAGATCAGAGACATGAGTCCGGTTGCTTTCGTTGATGTTGTTTTGATTTTATGAATGCTCCGAGATGTTGTAATACCTATTCGTAGGATGGAAAAGATGCGTGACAAATGGGAATAAACACACGGACGGATGGATGGACGAATGAAGCAAACAAGCTGCTATATAAATGTATTTTTAAAAAGAGAACACACCAATATAGATAGAATGTTGATATACGTGCATGTTTTTTTTTCATGCGTATTTGCTTTTCTTGAATATGTGTTCAACAGTGATATGTTTAAACTCTTCCACGCCAAGTAATGAAAGAAAGAGCTCACAGATTAGATCCACAAGCATTTATAATCATTTTGGAATTTTTGAGCTATTGAAAATGGAAAATGATTTATTAGGCGAAATGTCAGCATTGGCATAGATTTAGGTACTTTTCCGTAAATCATGAATTTCACAGAAGTAAAAGATGAATAATACAATAACAATAAAAGCGACAAGTTGCGAGTGATGATTGATAGATGGAACGAGATACATGCCGATTTCCCTCATCCCTGCTCTTGACCAAAGAACATTTGAACTGAAGGACAAAGGATACTTGGAAAACAATATTTATAGCGCGTCGAGCTTGAGCCATCTATCGTTTTGGCATGGCCCATTCTATAGATTCGGGAATTTTCATGGGTGCGGCTCTCCCCAAAATTCACCAACCCATTTTGCCCATAATGGATGTTAGGAATTGAATAAAATTAGCCATAACAAGCGGTATTGATATGAGCTGGCTGCTCAATATAGAATATTATAGTCGAAGTTTTCTTCGGCGAGTGTGTGAGAGCTTCGATTGCAATTGAATCAAACGGCCAACATTGAATTCAGATTCGGTTATTGTGGTGAAAACGATTGTGAAAAGCTCTTGCATGCTTATCACATCATTGTGCGCTGGCGGTGGAGCATGGTCGCATCAAAGTCATCTCTTCTATGTCAATAACATATAATTTTTCGTCGTTTCTTTTCTTTTGCAGTTCGTTGTCATTTATTTGCGTCGCCTGCAAATATCACGTTCCCTTTTTTCCCTTGCTTTCTTTATCTCTTTCTCGCTCTTCTCGAAGTCTAGTGGCACGATTTTTTTATAGTGTGAATCATGCATAAATACCGAATGTGTGGGAAAAACCCATATCGAAATAGTCAACGCTTGATAAGAATGTCGAATATGTATAGATGTATACATAGATGTTGCAAAAAAAACATATACAATCAAAGTATAGATTCATATGCATGAATGGAACGTGAATTTTTTTTTTATTGTTTCGACAAAGTTGAATAGAAAAAAAGCAGCATTGCTACATCGAAAAGAGAAGAAAAAAAAAGACGTGAAAAGAATAATTCGACACTCACACACAGACAAGTTCGTTACATGAACGCCAACATTTACACAATAGTAAACGAGAACAGAGAGAAGATGCAACTTTCCTTTAATATTGCCACACAAAAAACGCGCACACAAACAAATAACATTTGACGAAGGAAAAACATCCGAGAGAGCGAGAGAGCGAGAGAGCGAGAGAGCGAGAGAGCGAGAGAGCGAGAGAGAGAGAGAGAGAGAGAGAGAGAGAGAGAGAGAGAGAGCGGTATGTTCTAGGCCACATTCTTACATACGTCGCCTTTTTTTGTCCGTCTTTTTTTCTTCTGTGTAATTTTCACTCTGGATTCAGTAGGGTATTTTCTAAGTGCGTGTAATAACCATGCAAAGCGAAGCTCATTGGCGTGCCGATTATAGGCGAAAACAACCAAACACCAAAACTTTTTTTTTCTTTCGATTTTTATTTTTAAAATTGTTTTTCAAAGACAAAGTACAATTTCTTGTATTCAAGTACACTGAATGCATATTTACATTGTAAGTCCCACAGACACTCAGTGTTTTCGGAAGAAACAAAAGAGAAAAAAAATTTAAAATCAAGCGAGAGAGTGGAAACGCGAGCAAAAAAAACAACAAATAACAAACAAAAATAGCAAAATTAAAAATATATACTACATAAAACGCATTTCTTTGATGATCTCGATATGCGCCAATATGCTTTGCCTGAATCTTGATGATTGTCGCATCGCATTGCATCCTCTCTCTCTCTCTCTCTCTCTGTGAAAACACATCTATATCCAGCATTACACACAATTCCGCTTAAATGATGTGCACAAGCAAATGACTTTGTTCTTTTTTTCCCGTTACGCATGTGTTCATGTCAGAAGCCACATGCAAACTCTAACTAAATACGACTCTCAAAAAGCAACCGAAAAGCGAAAAATGTTGGTACTCAAAGAGGAGAAAAACGAGAGACAACACAGAACACACACAACACGAGCAATAAAATATCAAAGATCTCTATCCCATATATATTAAATATTTAATTGGTTTGCTTTAAAAGCTCCAGTTAAAAAATATGCATTTGTACGACGATGTTCTCGTTTCGTTGCATTCGATGGCCCCAGTGCTAGCCTCTTCCGCACTTTCTCATCCATGATTATCCATGAACTTTCTATTGTGGCCACATTCTCGTGATTCTTTTTTGTTGAACTTGTTTCATTTCGGCAAGAGCAAACTTCAAACATCGATTATGGGCCCCGGGAAACCCATGTTCAAGAAAAGATAGAGAAAGAGATAGAGAGAGAGAGAAAAAGATTCGTACATGAAATCCGGGAGAATCACACGAAATCACTGCTTATTGAAAGTGACGGTAATTGTTGCTGTTGGCGCTGAAATTTTGCAAAGGAAAGCAACGGAAAAACCAAAGTCTACGAGTAAATCACATTCAATCTTGTTCCTTTGGGATCTTTCCACTTTAAGCTGTACACGCTTTGAGTTTGTTGGTTTTTTGATTTGTGCTTTGTTGTGTTTATTCTGCCAAATTTCCATGCCTTCCATCATTTGTGTACACATGTTGGCTTTTGTTATTGTATTCAAATTCAATGATTTTCTTCGTCACATTGAGTTATAGCAAAACTCAAACGAAACCGTAAAAATAAAACCAAACTTCGGCAATACTTCGGCATTAACAAGTGATTGATATAAACGCTTCTATGAAATTCATTGTTGAAAAGTCAATTTCACGTGTATGCTACACAAATTTTCGTTCAACTTTCGAACGCGTTTTCATAACTTACAGCACCAGCATACCACTCGGCACACAACTCGGCTGAGTCGACCGTTTAAGCATTGAGCAAATAAAATAAAGTTCAATCTTTGAATGTTTGGTGTGCACATCACTATCCAATTGAATTCGCTTGAAATTGGGTTTATGGAGGAGTAGAAGCAAAAAAAAACATATTCCAATGTAATGTGTTTACACATGTATTGTCGTATGGAATAATGAAAAAGTGAAACAGAACAAGTGATATATGTGACGATTTTTTTTCCATTGATGTTTTTGCCTATTTCTTTTCGAATTACAAACATAAAACCTTTGTTCGGCAAAGAATTCAACAGCTGGTGCTCCATTACAAAATGTTATTCCAAGAATTCTGTTACAATAAAAAAAAAACGTTTTTTTGTGTATTTGACTTTTTTTGTCTTATTGACTGGATCGCATAATGTCACAACGAAACATATTTGAAATAGAATAGTTTTTTTTGTTGTTGACATCACATCAGATCACATGGAAATCCACTATCGAAAACGAAAAATGCTTCCTACTAGTTCATATAATGCAAATATTGCTTTTTTTTGTACGTCAGCATGCTGACTACGAACATTCAATGTGAACGTTTCTTGCAAGGAGAGGAAAAAAGGAGTATACAAATGTGATTTGAAATGAAAAAAAAAACTTCTGATATAAACTTTTTAATCACATAGAACATACTCGGTTCGTTGGGTTTTTTTTGCTCAGTAGATGCTCCATGAAAAATTCTCGGTCCCAGTGTGGTCATTAACATACATTCTCTCTCACAATTAATGGGATGTTATTTTGAGCAAATCAGCAGCGACCGAGCGTATCCGTTAGATATTTTTGGATAGGAAATTCCCATTAGGAATCAATATGTGATATGATGTGAAAAGAATGGCGAGAATGAACAACGAAAACGACCGCTGTCGTCTTCGCCGCCGCCATCACTTCACCGTTTAACAACATGTTTGTGTAATGTGAAGATGAATGACAGTTCCTTCTCGGTCATTCCATTGCAATCATGTCACTTTACATTCATATAAAACATAATTACCAGCGAAAGAGCAAAAGTGGTAAAGCGAGAGAAAACCGGAAAGCGCGTACGAAATGAAAACGATGAAAAACGTTGGCATTTCCATTTCGTACAACGGCAGTATCGACATGCCCGACCAATTATTGCGGCAATCGTTGTATTGAGGGTGCTCGGGCCGCAGATATTGTTCGTTGTTTTTGGACACAAAGCCATGAATCTTTGTTTCATCTCTCGTGTTTTTACGGCTCTGTCCGCCGTTTATGGGCCTAACTAATGCGTTCTATTCGCATCTTTGTCATCATTTTATAAATAGTTTTTCTTCTTTTTTTAGTAAATTATTGCAGCACGTGCCCATATTTTTCCATTGATTACGCCATGCTTCCTGTAGCCAGCGCATATATATCTCTTCTACACTTGTTCTATCTGGCTGCTGCTCATACTTCGGCTGATTCATTTTGACATCGCATCGCACTCAAAAGATGACAGCAAGTCTTGAAAACGTATATACAATGTACGTACATATGTTTAGATTTATTATGTGCTACTTCAGTGTGTGTTTATAGGAGTGCATTAATGTACATGGATCACATAAATCAAATTGAAATACATTTATACAGAGAAAATGGTTTGAATTTTTGAGAAACGAACGAGAATGCAAAAAAGAAATATATTTTCAAATCAGAAGCAAGCGCAACGAGAATGAAGAGCGGATAAAAGAAGATTCAGTGGAGATAAAAAGACATTAGCAAATGCAAATGCAAATGCTGAGAGATTCCGGTCGACATGAAAATCGGGGAAAATATTTTATTCTTAGTTGGGTGTACCTGTGTGTTTTTATGCTGTTAAAAATGACTTGGAATGACAGCCTTGTCTTTTTCACCGCTTTGCTTGTCAGTTTCTTTGACAATTCACTTCACTCATATATATATACATACATAGAGCACTCGAAAGCATACTAGAAGTAAAACTCCGAGCATCAGTTAAGTTAATTTTGTCGTGCCATTCAATTAGCTGTTGCGATATGCATGTTTTCTTATGCATAACAAACACACTGTTTTCTTACTATTTGTTTACTTTTTTGCACTTGTTCACATTGAATAGCATACATCATTTGTTTTCGCTGTCATATTTCTCCTTTTGATTGGTTATTCTTCATTTCTAACTTGATTTCTTGTGTCTTCTATGATATTTATATTATTCATTTGTCGTAAAAGATCTCGTGCGTGCTACTCTTTATTTTGCCCTTTTCGCTTTGTTTCGTTTCGTTTCTTTCTTTCTGAGGTTTATGGTTTTTGGTGCGGCTGTTGTTAATGTCGATATCGTTGATGGCCGTTTATGTTGATGATGCAGTTTGCGACATTACTGAATACACACTGGAGATTCATTGAAATCACTCAATATAATTCACGAAACTGGCGTACTCTTATGACTGCTTCACACATTGAACTCTTATACGGACTTGGTACCGTTTTTTTCTTCTTTCTTCCATGCACGTAATTGGCAAAATATCTTTCTGAAAAAGTATATCCCAACTGCGCTGCGTAATACTCTTAAATATAAATATTTCTCAATTTAGTGAGAAAAAAAACTTTCTACTCGACCGCCTTCTTTTATGCTGAAACTGAGTTTGTTTCATTCGGCTTTGGATTGGGATACATCGTCGTAGAAATTTATGTGTATCGCTATTGACGCAAACGAGCGCTCATTCTTTGAGTTGAGTACATATTTATGCGTGTGCACTTCGCAAAAAAAGTTTACATAAAAGTCTTCGTTATATCTTTCGAAAGATATTTTGCAAAACTCTTTCCTTCTTATTATTTTGTAGCCACTGATTTTCCGTATAATGATTTTTTTTCGCTTCTTCTCTTGACAATTCGTGATAGAGAGCACCGAAAAACTTGCTCTTTCGTATTCTCCTTTTTCTCACGTTTACTTGGGATGGACCGAAAAAGTTGTTCACTTAAATTTGTAAAAAAATAATATCCATTTCCATAGCGTCAGCACATAAAATTATTGTAAAACAAATAAAGATTAAGCGTTACAGATAACACTGGAGACATTTCCATTTGGCATTTATATATACGCAGCGTTCTATCGCTCTTTGGATTCGCACGCCAATGTTGATGATGATGCTGACGACGATGATGGTGGAATGAGTGCGTTGTGGTTTTTTTTTTCTCAAACCAAAGCACGTTCAATGATTTTCGAAATTATTTATACGACGCAAATATAAATGTATAATAATAATGATAATAATAATAATAAAAATAACTAAATAACGGCCGGAATATGAGGCGGTTAGGACAATAGAAAATGATTATTCAAGACACATTTCTCATATACACATACTTGGTGTAGTGTGGATTTTTTTTAATCATGCTAGATGAGATGACAGCATCGATGTCATGGAGCATATTTTCCGAATCGTTCTTGACGAGCACAAGATGTTTGACAGAAAACATTGCATACACGCGCACTCGACTCAATGTCTTTCGTCCTCTTCTGCTCAGCACTTCTTATGTTTTTTTTCTCTTTGTTTTTCCTTTCTTTCTTTCTTTGCACAATAAATATAAATTCCAAACCGAAACCGTTTGTTATGCTGTAGCGTTTTTCACGTTTTATTTTTCTATTATGCCTTTGTACTGGTAAGAATCATAATGAACACTAAGGCATGAAACACAACTAAACGAAGAACTAAACAATTTACTTCAGAGCCATTTCAATTTTTAATTTTCTTCGTCCTTTTTTTCTCTCTCTCTCTCTCTCTCTCTCCCTCACAAACGCACAGCATGTAATTATGTACTGTGCCGTGGTATAGCACAACCGAATATACACTCAAATCTACATAAATTCTGATGAGCTGGTAGATTTTCTCCTTTCGTTGCTTTTTGCACAAAAATTCTTTTTTCCCTATGCTCCTTTTTATCTTGCCTCTTTTTTTCTTTCTCTTTTTTGCATATCCTATTTAGTTACTTTTGTTTTTGCTTTAGTTTTAATTTTCATATCGCTGTAATAACAGTGGTATTTTGTTTGCAATGATGATGACTGCGACTGTTGTATTTTGTGAAAATGCGGTTTTTCTGTGTGGATCCTCTTTTTTTTCTCTTCTTCGTCTAAAAATGGGTACACCGTTGAACCTTTCACTTATTCATCCGTACACTCGGCTTCGTTTCATTCTTTATCATCATCATCATCATCATCATCATCATAAATGCTGTGTTTGTTGTTGCTGAAATTCTGTCTTATTTTCATCGTTTTGTTTTATTTTATGATGGTACACTCCAGGGACACCTCAGCAATAAAATCAAATTATGAGTCATGCTCCATCATATCACTATATACACACATACACTTTGGAGCCGCACACAAGATGCTAAGCCATTTGCGAATGATAAAAATACAACGAAAAAAAGTGGCAAAAATATTCAATTGAGAAATGAAATCTTTGGTGGCAAAAAACCGCATCAGGTGATACATAAATCAAAATGGTTCGTTTTTTGGGTTTTCCGCTGTCATCACTGTTGTGTGTGAGTGTGTGGCAAAATCAAATCGTTCCCACTTTTACACTTAACACCCGTCTTGTTTTGTTCTTTTTTTGTGTTTGTTTGTATGTAGTTTAAAATTCATTTCACTTTGTTATCCAATAAAGTAGTACCGATGCTTCATTCCACCTGTCCACCTGAGACATTCTTGGTTACGGTGTAACAGTCCATAGGGTTCAGTGTTGCCGCAATAAAACTATTATTTGCAACAACAATCAAAAAAGGAAAACACATTCTCAAAATGCATTCGATATGCAATACAACGAACAACTCTATTTTACATTAGGGATATATAGTTTTTTTTTCTCAGTTATTTGTTTTCAATTCAACCACTACCACCGTGTAAAGAGAACGTCTCTCATCGCGCGATCGCGTACGGAAAAAAAAGAGTATGTGCCTACAACGTACATTTGACGTCGTTCGCAACCGACAAACAGGGGCAAACTAACCGTTCAGACGAAAACTCGGATGAACGATAGGCATATGAGCCAAAGGAAATGGATTCAACGTCCAAAAATAACAACAAAACGAAGAAGAAGAAGTAGAATGGAATGAGAGAAATAAAATCGCATATATACGAACGGTTTTCTCTTTGGATGATGCTCTTCGTGTGTATGAGTGTCATTGTGCTTTACGCAGCTACTATAAAATTACGGGCTGTGCATGAAAGGCGAATGGAACACTCTAACAGCTATCGAAGTGTGTACGAGAGAGTGCTTGCATGTGTTTGTACAAATATTCTGGGCACATCTTCGTATGTGTGCATAGAATGTGTTCAGAATTCACGCGCAGAGCAACATTCTCACCAGCGCGCATACACACAAGTAGCAGCAGCAGCAGCAGCAGCAGCGAACCATTAACCGTCAGTAGCACAATAATAGCTAGCGAATGGTAATGCCATGGCAAGTAACAGCAGCATTGGGAGAATTGTACATTTTCGTGCAAAAAAAAAACGTAACCCCCGAGAAAATTTATTGCAATAAAATTAATACACCGAGAATGGACGACAAGCTTCAGTATATATCGAGATACGAGATCTCAGATGATTTTTATACATCTGCAGATTCACGACAAGGCGCTCATTTTCTCTCTTTCCTTGCTGCAGTGTTGGTGTGCGTTGGAGAAGCGATTTAGCGAGTGCGCTCACAAATTTGTACAAGGGATCACCAAAAAAAAACTTATGCGTACTAGTAATATCCGAGGCGACTGAGGTTGAATTTGCCCAACGGCTATGACCAGCGAATTCAGTCATTTGGACTGGTCGATTGCTAATACTTGCATCAATAAAAAACTAGAACGAATGCGAAAACGAGCGTAAGTACGGTAGAGAAGCAGAAGCAGCAGCAGTTCAGACTAACTTCTCTAAGACTAACGTTTCTCGTATCGTGCGAACTTTTAAAATTTGTACAGAACGCAATAAACGGCAGCCGCTTTAAAATCATTCTTTCGACACAGAAAGCATGAAATAAACCTTGGCATAGAGTTTTCGTTGTTGCTATTGCTACGACATCAGCATGATTAGATTATATACGAGCGACAAAACCATGATTATGATATTTCCACGGAGAATTGCGTCTAGGGAGTGTGTAATATTTGAATTCATGTCTGTTTATAAAATATTGCAGGCGCCCCTCTCCAAATATCATATTTATCGCGCTGCCATATTTTGATTTTCTCGAAAAGAAAGTCACTGAACCAAAATGCTATATTTAAACTTTGATGTGACGCGCTAAAAACGGGTGGATCATAACACAAAACTTTCAACTTTAGTGCAACTATCTTAGTTAATTAAGATGAAATTTTTTTCGATCCAAAAGCCGCTCTGAAATTTTCCCCAAAACACGCTGCTACTACGTCAAAAGCAAAGAGCTTCACAGCTGTTGGCCTAGAGCAAAGAGCTTCATTCTCGCTCTGCATTTGAAAAATAAACGATAAATTATTTAAATTAACGCACATAATTAAAATGAAAAAAGAGTGTGGTATGTGTGTGTGTGTGGTGTGTGTTTTTGAGTGAGAGAGCAAGAGATCGTCATTGTCGCTCTAAAACCCAATGTGTAAACATAGTTTGCCACATTTTTGCTTGAACTCGAACAGAAAGTCAACAAATACGGAGTCGAATGTGTTCGAATTTATGTATTCTGCGTGAAGCATCCGAAAACTTGAAGGCACACTCTTTCGCAGCTCTTACGTATTGGTTGATATACGTTTATATAACGACGACGAGGAGCTTTTCTCCCATTTTCGTGCTCATGTTGATGCTATGCTGTACTGTTGCTGCGTAGTCGTTCGACCGAAATTCGATTTTCGATGCAATTGCCCGGTACACAAATTTTTCTCCCTTCTTTTTTTGCGCTTTCACAGCTCGGGTGATAAAGTACTCTGCAAAAGTGTTGTATTCTTTCGGATATTACGAGCTTTAAAGATATTAATATCTCTCATAAAATTGCACGCTCGATAGAGACTGCCAAATATTCGAAGCAAGGGAGACATCGAGCGAAAGAGAGAAAGAGATAGAGCAACCAATGGATTGGCACCTAATATTTTGGTACAGATTAATCGCATCGTACACGTGCATATGGCTCATTGTTATTAATTATCATTGATTCGCATCTCCTTCTGCTAAATACCAATGAACCAATAGATTCCGATCAAAATGAAAATCAAGGGAAATAAAAAGCAGGAACGAACAGAGTGTTATTGAATGCGTCGCCGTTTATTTATGTGTGTTGTTTGGGTATGCGTTGATTTTAATGTGTATATATATATGGTGCGCAAGCAACATTTGTCTCATCAGTCTTATACTATATACAATGTTTACAACTATTAGAAGGCATCGCCATCCACAGTAGCAATCACATCAATCGCAAATTTTCCCGTATCTTTCATCCATTCCTGTTGTATGTCAAATTGGATACAGAGATGAATTGGTTAATTTCGAAATGGAGCGCTACCACAGTTTGAGAGACGGAGACACTTCGTAAAATGAATTAATTTCAAACACAAGCGCCGACGCAATCCAGCTCATTTCACTCCGAGTAATTCAAGTGCGCATTTCCTATTCTGACATGGGAATGAACATGGACATTGCCATTTGCCAGGACCATTGGCGATCTGAGTCGCAATTTAGATTTGATATTGCATTTATTCTACATATACACATACACTCACACAAATTAAATGCCCTGGTCCTTTGTTCGCATATTTATACTATATTTGAGCTAATACATGTAGAGCACGAATTTTTGGGTACGGCAAACAACATTGCGGATTAGGCTGATTCGGTTAAATTTAACCGAAAGTCATTGATGTGTACTTTGCAAGTGTTTGACACTTTCATATATATATATAGATGTATATACATATGCCAAATAACAAACAAATAAAACATCGTCAGAATTCGTATACCTTCCGCACCGTTGCTATATAAGCAGTAATCGCCATTCAATATCGACAAAGATATAACACCAAACTGGCTGCTTTTTTATCCATCCCAATTGTAATGGTTTTTGGTGTGCTGCTATCGTCGTTTTCGTCGTCGTCGTCGTCGCCACCACCACCACCATTGATTTTGCTGCTGCTGGTTCAGATCATAGAGTTTTACGTGCTGGTGTGCATGTGAGTGTATGGATGCTGATGTTTGTGTACACTGTACATTTTCCGTTGTGTGTGTGGGTGTGTTTTTCTCATAAAGACCCAAGTATTTGTAACCATTCGTTGGTAAATATGAGTTGTAACTGGTATCTGTGCATGGAACCGTTGCTGCTGGTGCTGGTGCTGTTGTAGTTCATATTTCTGGAAAGCACTTTGAAAATTTTCTTGAAATCACTTTCAACATTACAACCACAGCAGCAAGAGGAAAGCGCTCCAAATGTATTACACTCTATCTTTTTCTGAACTTTAACGCAAACACACAACGATAACCAAACATTGAATTGCATAGAGGAATTGTGTCGCTCACAAATCGAGTCCAAAACCAATGAAAATTGTGTGTATATGTACTTTGTTCGCTTGTTTGAAAAGCAAGTTCGAAAACTTCCATTCAGCGCTTTAAAGTATATCGTACCATCCGCAAAATCCATTGGTAGAAATCCATCTAAAAGCGTCTCGTTCGTTGTTGTTTCATTCATTCGTTCCTTCGGTCGGTCGGTCGGTCGCTCGTGGAACGTAAACACATTTAATATATTTCCATATTATTTATGGTTCAGGACAACTTCAATGCATATGTATTATTTACAGTGTTCTACCATTCGAACTTTATATGTGAATAATATGTGATGTGTATTCATATTGAATGTTTATACGCTTTGAAAGACTATTTGTCCTTCGCAATATTTATTTATTCTTCATAGAATTTGCGTGTGCCATTTTTTTAGTCGTTGTTCATGCGATTTTCGGCTTTGTTGACAAAAAATATTGTTATTATAATTTATAATTCGAGGGAGCGAGAAAAAAATAACGAAATTTTGAGTGGAAATTCAATTATTACCTCTGAACTCATATTTTTACAGCAATTAATAAGAAATCGAACAATGGGGTAAAATTTCCGCGCATACCACGAAGACGATAAAAACGCAAATTTACTGAGAGAGCAATGGTTATCATCCACAATGAACTGTAAATCGAAGAGCTAACGTGACATCCGTTTTATTGGAAGCCGCCAATAAAGTTTGCCATCCCCTTTATATGTGATAGTAGTCTGATTGATTTTAGTGTGAAGCAATAAAAAAAATTTATCCACTTCATGGCTCAAACAATGATACAGAGATATCCATCGATTAACCTCATTTTTATTTGCATTGAAAAACACATCAATTAACGATCCTATTGTTAGTGTTGCTAAATTTTTCGCTTCATTTTCCTTGCAAATCCCAGTGTATATTTACCTACCACCGCCCTTTCCAACTGTTATTTTCCAATCAGCTGATACGCATCTCTATGTCTATCTCTTACTTATTCGCTTGTACGTTCGTTGGCACGCTCTTTCGCTCATCGATACGACAAATTTACAGTGATTCGGATGAAAATTCCTCATTATCCAATAAATAATTGCAAACTTGAATACACCTAGGCTTTTTGTGTTCAGAACTCCACCATATATGAATGGGCAAGCGGAATAATGAAACGTAATTCTGTTTTTAAATGAAGTGCCTCTGAGAAAAATTTTCAGTAAAAAAGCCCCACAAAAATATTGTCTGAATAAGATTTTCATACAAATTTTTATCAGACAATATTTTTGTGGGGCTTTTTTACTGAAAAATTTTCTCAGAGGCACTTCATTTGAAAACAGAATTACGTTTCATTATTCCGCTTGCCCATTCATATATGTTTGTCATCTCAATCATTCGCAATATTGCCCTTTCTATGTTGCGTTCGGGGCACTTTTTCGTTGTTGCTGTGAGCATCATCAGAGCCCATGTGCATATACTCATTAGAATGTGTGTATGAAGATGAGAGATAATCAATGTTTGATTTGTTGACACCGTTCAGAATTCTCTTGTTCTAGATAATGATATGCTTGCTACTCCGGCATTCGCAACATCTTCTTCAATAGACTCTTACGCTTCGGTAAATATTGTTTGATTTGATGTTATTCTTGCTTATATATCTACGTTGCTTTTTCTTATGCATTTTTTTTTTCTTGGACCATTATTGAGAACAACAGTTCCAGAATTTTATTTCCTCTGCAATCATGAAACGGCGATGATGAAACTGAGATTCGATGGATTTATGTGCCCCCCTCTCCCTCTCTCTTAACACTGCCATCATTTGGCCTATGTCAATGTAGTTCGGTTTTTATTTAAATTCCTTCTTTTATATTCGTTCTCTTTTATTATGTTTTGTTTGATTTTTTCTGCACCAAGTGTCTTATCTCTCGTTGGTGTACCTTCAGAATTTAGTTGTTGAGTGTACATTTTTCATGTTTGCTAGTACACGCAAATTCACATTTGGTTTACTCGCATCTATGTGTAAAATATGTACTTACATAAATATTTTTGTTGTTGTTGTTGCTGCTGCTGTTGTATGTGCCTTTCCTGTACGCTTTTCGTTCGCACTGATGCTCATTCAACGGATGCTTTGGAACATGTTTTGAATTCGTACATACAGGCTTTTCTTCTCTCTCTCTCTCTCTCTCTCTCTCTCTCTCTCTCTCTCTCTCTCTCTCTCTCTCTCTCTCTCTCACTTCCTCGGCATGTGAGCCCATTTTTGCTCTCGCACAAAAGTAAAACTCTTATAATAAGTGTGCTTTCAGCAAAGTTTGATTTACAAGCATGTAAATTTAATTTTTATTTATAGTCGATGCTTTGTTTGACATTCATACAACCACATCTTTCGGATATCACCTCAATGTCTTCAATTTCCATATTCGACACTTTTCGCTCCACATCGCCATCAAAATGTGCACACTCAGTTTCCCAATTTCTTTCCGTGACACAAACTGGGATGAATAATGGCGTTATGTAAATGAAAAGGAAAACAACTAATGAAAAAAAAATACGAGAAAAATATGAAGAGAGAAAAAGTATACAACGCAGCATACGAACGCAGCTATGCAACGAACTTTATCCAATAACAACAGCAACAACAAATGGGAAAAGTGAAGAAAAATGAGTAAAATAATAATTTGGTGGAAATTATTGATGAAATTACTTTCCTGTCTGTGGCCTATGTGGTAATGTGGGCGATAAGATGAAAATATGTGCAGAAATTTCTTCTATATATGAAATGCGTGAGAGGAAAAAATGTCAAAATTTATTCAATTTTTGACACGTATTTATCTCGTAAATTCGACCGTTTATGGGTAGCCAAAATCATAACAATAAAGATAAGGAATAAAACTGACATCAGTAGACCAACGAGTCATTTATTTAGAGGCGAGAAATAAATATTACAGTTGATATAGATATGTTGGATTATGGAACGTTAACATAAGTCACAATGTTCTTTCGCAATGAATTTTCATCGTTCAACCTGTTAGAAGTCAGATGCGATCATGAAAAAAAAAGAAACGGTGATTGGTACACAGAATATTGCTGACGACTCAAAAAAATATTGATGTCATTTTGAGAGATTTCATATTTTCCCAAATTGACAGCATAAGCTTATTCAAACTTATACTGTTTTTCTACGAGATCTTTAACATTTTTTTATTGAAAATACTAAACAGGTTCTAATACGATTTTCAATTTGGATACATTTTGATTTTATTCTGTGGTTGGAAAATATGGTCACATATTCTGGGGCCATTAAAATTGTGAATATAAATTCTTTAATTCGTTTCTGAATTTGTGGAGAAATCAAAATCACTGTCTTGTTGAATTTTATTGCTTGGATTATTTGCGTAGCCAGTTTGACTGTCATCTGTGTCACTTTGCAAATAGTTTGGAATGCGGATATCGGATGCTGGTTCAGCATTTGTCGTATATTCGATTTTCTGTTGTGATTGTTGCGACTGTCTTTGCTGCGGTTGTTGTTGCTGCTGCTGCGGCTGCTGCTGCGGCTGCTGCTGCTGTCGACCATGTTGGTCCACAGCAACTAAGCTTGAAGTGGGCAATTCATGTGAATTATCGAAGGTAGCATTGGTTGAATAGGTTTGATTTTGATCCACAGTTCCATAGTCACTGTAATAATTTTCGCCTGGCGATACCGTATAGTAATCATCGTGTTTTAGTTGCGCTTGCAATGCTGATTGCGTTTCGTATTGTTGATAACCATCAGATGAAGGTAAGCGGCTCATTGAACTTCCATCGTTTCCAATCATATCATTTGCATAGTATTGTATTCGCTGTGGATCCTACGGTGACAAATACAAACGCAAACACACAAATGAAAACCTTCAAAATATGCTCTCATGCGAAAAAAATAATATAGAGAAAACAACTTGAGCAGGAGAAAAGGATAAAAAGTTGAAATCGGAATAAACAGAGTTGGGAACGTTTCGACGTAACTCTTACCTATTTAAGGAATATAAAGCATATCATCACAATAGATTCTTCAGATAATATACAATTCAGAAATGTGCGAATTCTGGAAATCATTATGTGTGTGTGGCACACATATCGAAGTTCAGAGAACGTAATCTCATCCTATTTCTAAACCAATAATATGTTTTGAACGATTCTGATGCTCATGATGTTGACGATTGTTATTACTTTTTCTGTATGTTTTTGCTTCGACATATTGTCGAATGAAGCGATTGCATTCGCCCCTTTTAATGTCGACATTTGGTGTGTTGAACATTTTATTTCCACAACTCTGTTCCGAATATGTTAAGAATTTTACCTGTTGTGGTTGTTGTTGTTGCTGCTGCTGCTGTTGTGATTCATATTGTTCGTATTGAATCAGGTGATCGTCGGGATAATAATACTCTTCGTTGTTGTACACATTTTGGTTGGCTGCAATATCCGTTTGTGCTTGGTATTGGTTGTTGTCGTCGTATTGATAGTGAACTCCATTTGGTTCGACGTTATGCTGAGTATTCACTTGTGGTGAATACTCGCTTTGGAATTGCTGAGATTCTTCCGGATGGCCCGCATAATACGCTTCAGTGGGTGCTTCATGTGCAGTGTTTTGAATTTCATAGAATTGAGCCTTATCTGCTTCTTCTTCTTCTTCTTTCTTATAATTGTTATGAGGATCATCAGCCCAAGTAACGGTTTTGCTGCTGACAAAAACACAATTCAATATTCAAAAGCCATACTTGATATTGAATTTTAACTGCTTAAACCCCAAATTACTGAAATTAATTTATAACTACCATTTAAAATCAAAAGAAAGTATACCTATGTGTGGACGATACTCGAATTTTATCGGCTTCATCACCGAATTGTTTCAATTGTACTTCGTTGGTTAGTTGTTTTTGCTGTTCCATCGCACTACTGTCCAAATGAAGATTTTCCATTGCCGTTTCTACGTAAGCTTGGTCATTCGTTTCGTACGTGGAATATGGTGCATTGTTGTCGGTCACATAATACGAACTGATATCGCTTTGATTCAAATCACGACCATACTCATTGTCATGCATTGCCTCAACAGGCTGTTGAGAATTCACCACACTTACTGATGATATTTGTTGATCGGTATAGTCGACCACTCCTGCACTCTCAACAATGTCCTCTATTTTAACCGCTGCCTCAGGATCTATTGAGTTTCGTTTGTTTTCCTGGCCACCAGTAAATGTGCTAAAAATATCGGATCGAGGCGCGTTGGACGATTGGTTGTCGAAACTATTTCGGCTGTTACCAAAAGTGTTGCCATTTCCCCGATAATTTATAGCTGACAAAGATTGCAGTTGAAACGGCTCAATGTTTGTAACATTCTTTTGTAAATCGAGCAAATTGGCAGCGACACTGTACCGACGACGTACATTCGCCGCAATCGATTTTTTCCGCAATTCGCTATCATCGTCCGCCGATTTTGTCAATGAACCAGAGTCAAAGCTAGACCGACGTTTATCTCCAAATTTTGTGGGCTTTTCCTGGCTGTCACTTGGCAAGAAAAAGTGTTTTCGGGTCTCTTGTGTACCTGTCACCTGCTGCATGGAAGTGGTTGGAGATTTGTTATAGTACGCATTATCCGCAATACCTTCGTATTGATATCGGGCTTCCTCCGGCATTTCGTCATTTGGAATTGAAGATTTGACGGACTGCGTAATATGTTGAATGTCATCGTTGAATGAAAAATTATGCATATCCTTTGGCGGTGATCGTGCCAAAGATGAAATATCATCAACATCTGTTAGAGAAGGACTTTTGACAGATTGTCTCGAATCAGCCGATTCAACGCGTGGCAAGATATTATAATCGTCAAGCTCTCTTTCATGCAAATATTCATCCTTACCCACATCTTTATTCCAGGGTGTCGTATTATTACTTCCTTCATAATTATTTTCTATACTTTGTCTTGGCTTGATTTCATCCATATGTATGTTTTTCGCATCATAAAGCGGTGGTTCAACCGCTTTGTTTCGCAATTGTTGGCTGTACGAAGTAAATGTCGGCATCGGCTGGATCACTTGGTGTTTTTGGTGTGAGGTCAAATTGGAAACACCAGTTGGTTCAACTGCTTTTTGACTAGTTGATTCTTCAATAAATGAAAATTGGGGTTTAAGGCTGAAATACTGCATATCTTGCTGTTGCTGCTGAAGCTGCTGCTGTTGCTGTGGTGGCGGTTGATTTACATATCCAATAGAAGAATACGGCTGACTTCGGGCGCTTATGTTGGGCTGCGAACGCTGCGAGTCATCCGCTAATTTAGTTAGCGGAATATCAAGCGATGTTTTGTGTTGTGCCATCATTACGGGCACATAATTCCCGCTTGATGGAATGGAATCGAAATATTTATTATGATTTAATCCATCGCTCAACGTATTGGTTAGCAAATGTGAATTGGTGAAATCGCTTCCCCATCGGTTCGAATAATAGCCGATATGCTCGTTTCTTGTTTGATTATTACTTGGCAACTCTTTGAAATGGATTGTCGGTTTGTTATCGAATATGGTTTGAGTGGGTGTCATTATTTTTTGGATGAATGGTTGAGTTTCGAGTGTTCGAAGAGGTAGCTGACTTCTCTGTAAATGGAACAGTTCGTTGAATAGCGGTGCATCTGTATCATTGTTGTAAATTGGCATTAAAGGTAATGATGGACATGGAATTTCTCGTACAATGGCTGTTGTTGGCATTGGCTGCGTCGTTACATGCTGTTGTACAGTTGTTGATGTATTGCCCATTGATTTATCATCATTAGACTTTTGATAAACTGGCTCTTGAACTTCGTCCAAATGTGCGGGTCGTTCGAATATCAATGGTCGTGAGTTGTCACCAACAGCACCAGCACTAGCACCAGCACCAGTACAATTGATAACACGATTATGATATTCATATGAAGCCGGAGCTGGTAAACAATGTGCTGCATTCGAAAATAATACATTCGGATACATAAGTTGTTGATGATAATACGCGCTTCGTCTCCAATTATTTATGACTATTCGCTCTTGTTGCGTCTGAAAAATACGGTATACAATTTTATAAGCATCTAAATACTAAATAGTCGATTGATTTTGATTCCGTTACAATGCCTTGACAATGCCTTCTGAGCGGTACTCTACGAACATACTTGGTACGTACCACATGAGAATTAACTGTCAAAATTTGTGAAATAAACTTTTTTCCCTTATGAGATAAAAACCTGATTACGGAGATTCAAAAAGGTGGGGCAACGAAGTCAAAACAGAAAACGAACGAAAAAGCAAGAGATAGATAGAGAGAGAGAGAGAGAGAGAGAGAGAGAGAGAGAGAGAGAGAGAGAAAACACTTAACGATTCTTACCTTCAACCTTTTCAACTTTTCCGTGTTTGATGCCATAGCGGCCGCTTTGGTCTGAACCTCCTCCAACATTTGCAATAGTTCTTCGTTACGATTCAATCGTTTACGCTCATGCTGCAGCAATGTATCGTACTTTGATTTATGAATAGATGCCGACTTCTCGCTACAGTATCAAATTAAGTAGAGAAGAAAAAAATTGCCATCATACGATATGGGTAGAACATATGAAATACACAAGCGCACGCATAGCAACGAAATTGATTAAAATTATGCGGTGAGCTTAACTTTTGTTATGTCTATATGGTACATATATACATTTATACATAAAGTATACTTTTTTTTATGCAACGTTAAATCCCAAGAAACATTCATGTAACGCAATTTAGTCATTTTTAACGTTAAAAGATGTAACGTTTTCAGACTTTTTTTTCCGTCAAAATCGACTGAAATTTCAGTGTAAACCAACTGTATGAATATTGGGAACGAGAAAATGTTAGATTTTAAATTAAAGAGAAAAGAATTATGTATCAATTAATAGTGTTCACAAAAATAGTATAAAATTCTATGATTTAAATTGTTCATGTTTTTGTTCATGTATTGATCCAAAGAGAATAAACTAAATGGTTCATTTCTTCTGATTTTCAACGATTACGTTTTAAATTGTCCAGAGATGGCAGGCAAAACTAATGTAGTGAATATTCCCGCTATTAGTGTTGGTTCATTTTGAAGTTTGTTATTATAAACAAACCGCCGTTCACAATTTCACCATGTCATGAAATATGAATCTTTGCTTCGTTCGACTAAATTCATATTGAACAGCCAGCAAAAGGGAAAAAGGGTAAGTCATTTGAATTGTTATCGTTGTGACATCGAACGAGTGATCGAACCAAACAATACCACCGTGTGCATGTGATTTTCGAAATCAACAAACCATCGATTGTTGTGTGTTTTTTTGTTTGTTTACAGTTTTGATCCGTAGCCTGTGGAAGAAATCTGCTGTCGAAATATCGTGAGCGTTTCGATATTTTATCACGGTGTGCGGTGTTCGTGTCACAACCAAATTCAGCTTGATGTGTCAAACTGATGCCGGTTGCACATTCACATTGATCTGAGCATTTGGAAAGGCAATTCATTTGTTGTGAATACTGTTCGATTTACAGTGATTGTTTTTTTCGTTTTTCATTCAAATTAAGTAATTTAGAAGCAACAAAAAATCATTTCTAGTACGTTCCAAAGTAATTTTTGTGTTTTCATTCCATTTTTTCAGGGTTCAATAATGGGCAGAAAAAGGATAGGGGCACATACCATTCGTGGCAATAGGTCGAAACTGCGGAAAGTTGAAGATGGCAAGCAAAAGGAGGAGAAAGCATACTTTGCAATCAAGTTGGCCGCCACTAGTATTGTTCGACCGGAATATCGTGATCGTATTCTGCCATGGATCACAAAAACCAGCATAAAATGCACCGAAATATCTGAATTGGCGTCGCTTTTATTCCTCAACAAAGTCAGAGCTGCCACTGAACAGGCCATCATCACCGGCAATTGGGAATATTTCGACGATGGCGATGGAATGCACATCATCGAAAATTGCTTCTATGCTGTGTTGCGGCGCTACAAGGAAGACGATTTCATTATGGATCCATGGTTCCGGCATTGCTTTGAGAATGTGGACATCGAGAATCGCTCCGCATGGCCAAACAATGATTACTTCGGCAACTTGATGAAATATTTGTTCCAACAATATGGCCGTAATGTGAAGACGAATTTGGATACACATGCACAGAAACGATTGCGGTATTTCTTGAGATTGAAGGCATTCAGACAGAACTACACTAACCGGATTCGTGGCCTACCGGACACATACGATGAACGAGATGTGGCAAATGCAGTGTCATGGGCAATCAAACGATATGACGCAACAAGAGGTGATGCTAATCGCTTGGCCAAACGAGATCGATTGTTGCGTTACGTTCGAGACATTCGTGGACCAGCTGACGATGATATCGCCAAATTCTCCAAAGACGAAGATACATGGTTTGCATCATTGCCAATGTGGTTGATCATGCAATCAGAAATCGAAACGCACCTAAACTGGGTTGAACAACACCACGACAACATCGTGCAAGTCATTGCGTTGCCAAACATCAAGAATTTGGTGGTCATCTCAATCTGTCATCACACGCGAAAGGCAGTGAGAATAGACGCTGATGTTTTGTATCGTATGATGTGCGAAACCGGTACCATTCCGCGTGATGAATATGGTCGGCAACATACAGTGGGCCACGTCACGTCAAAATCAAATCAAGCGTATTATTTCAATATGATTTTTAACATGGAGAAAATCAATCGAGTGTTGAAAGCAAACAAAAAATTCGAACATATTCTCAGCGATGGTGTATCGGCATCGATTCTGTACACAGTGAAAAAAACCGTTGTCGACAAGTTAGTGGAAGATGGTTTGGTGCGTAAACGGTACTCTGATGGCTTCTATGTCTATAAATTGGGCATTGATTGGGGCATGAAGACGTGGAATGCAACCGTTAGGCGACGAATTAATAATGACAAAAAGCGAATTCATAATGGCAAAGAGGTATGTTAGCGATTGAATGCATTCTATTGTGATTGTGTCATTTGAATCCATTTCATTGTTTAATTTTTATTGTTCGATTTTTGTTTCCATCTCACAGATGAACTTCACAATCAACAGCAAGAAGTATCATTATGGGACCGAAGAAGGAGTGCGTAAGGAAAAGAGAGAGCGATGGACTCGTGCCTTTGGGCAGTTCGAAGAGAGTGATCGAAACAACCGAGTGCGATATGACCGAATGCCATCACCAAAAGGAAGCAATTGGCGTGACTACATACGGCATCGATTGACCATCATGAAGAAAGCCATTGCAGTGTACACAACCAAAAAGTACACACGTTTAAGTTTTGATCATTACATCGAGTCCAATCGGATCAGTGACAAGGTGGCCGCAATGCTGGTAAGAATTTACGATTGAATTTTTGTTTCTTTGGAAAAAATTGAATGTTTTTGTTGTTCCTCAACAGACAAATCGCAAACGATGCATCATTAACATTGGAGCTTCCCAACCAGCTGCAAATTCACCAATACAGATCAAGAAACACGTTCGATGCCCGGGCGTGCGGAAATTGGTGAAGAGTTTCAAGAAAATGGAAGGCAATGTCATACGATTTGTGAACGAAGCCAGATCATCACGATTGTGTGCCAGATGTTTCGAACCATTTCCATTGAGTACATTGAACGATCGTGTCAAGGTGTGTGAATGGTGTATGCCCGATCAAGATGATTGACCTGATGGAATGAAGCTACCAGAGAAAATTGTAGCGGCAAAGAGCAAGCGGAAGTTACGATCAGAGCGACGAGCGATGCGACAAGCAGCAGTGCAGAATCCAAATCAACCCCGTGGTTTTGTGTCTAAGGTGATTTGCTACCGTAAAAACTGGCAACAAAACGCGGCAAACGGTATGGATGACAATGTTGAAGAGCGCAGAGGTGTAATCATTCACGACGCTGAACTCGGTATCATCGAGTACACAGATGAATATGTGCCCGAAGACCCTGTTGACGACTCTCCAGTACTGAAGACAGTTTGGCAACGTGACATTTCGGCTGCAAAATTGATCTTGTACAGAGGTATGTTACTCATTGAATTAAAATTGATGCAATAGTAATGTGTGTGTGTTTTTTTTTTCTCTTTGTTTCAGGGCATTGCGAACTCTTTGGACATCGGCTGCATGATGCGTTCACACGTCAACACCTCGTGTATCCAACTCGATTCCGAGTCAACTTCAACATTCATTAATATCAATGGAGCCGCAATTTATGTTTTATTTTTCAAAAGAATTTATGTAACAGTATGTTATTTGTAGTTGGTTGAGGTCTTTGTCTCCCAGACATCATCGATACCAGATATCGATGGCTATCTATATTCTATAGTCTATATAGATGTAGGTAGAGTACAGGATAATTCCTGTAGGTGAGTATCACTATTTATTAGCATATTGAATATTGATTCATAATCGTTTTTATATCATTCTGATTGATTTGTTTTTACTGCTCTTTTTCTACTTCCATTGTGACGTTAAAAATGACTGAAACTACACCCAAATGCGGGCCCAAATTCAACCGTTTACATACGCTTGGTAATGGATGTATTTGCGTTAACAATTGTTCCTTGGGGTAGGACAAAGGTTCAATTAGGGAAATTTATTCGAGGATTGTTGCCAACAATGTTTTGTTTTTTTCTTTCTCCGCTTGTTAATATCGGCAAAAAATTGTGAGTCATCAATTTCATGATATATGCATATGCGTGGTATGATTGACGAAAATTGAATTATAGTAATATATATTTATATAAAACAAGAATAATCAATACAAATTATAGCTGGCAGCAATAATCTATACCATGTTTCAATAGATACTGCAATGAAAAGAAAACCTTACCAATCGTTGCGTTCCTTCATCAATCTTTGAAATTTAATTTCCAGATCCTTCCGTGCATTTTCGCTGCAATTAAACGAATTATTCATTTCAAGTGCATAGCTTTCCAAATTTAAAGTGATTGATTGCGATGAAATCAAGTTCGTATTGCTTTCAAAACCCATGATGGAAGCTTGCAAATACATTATGTTGTGTGCACAGATACTTAAATTCGGTTTGCAAATGTGGCTCGAAGTGCAATGCGATTCTCGTCAATAAGGGCCTCTTAAATTGAGTTTCGTTTTTCCATATCGCACTATATCTTGTACATCTATCTCCCTTTCTCTCTCTCTCTCTCTCTCTCTCTCTCTCTCTCTCTATCTCTTTCTCTCTTTATCGTGTACAACTCGGTGAAAACAACGCACCACTGGCGGTAAAAACCTCCCATACAAATATTTAGTGTAGCACATTTGCATACCGAGTAGCAAATACCAACACATGGAATTCAAAAGCGGATTTTGGTTAATTGTTTATAGTGGAAAATTGATCATTACAAGGCAACATTTTGTATTAAGTGTGCTTACCTCTTTTTCACTTTGCTTTGAAGACGCTCCAATTTTTGCTTGTATCGTTGGTAGTCGGTACCGAACATTTTTAGCTGCTGCTTGTGTTTCTTGTTATTGTTGTTGTACGTCCTTTTTACTCTATATTCTGGATAATATTTTTGCCAAATCTTTTGCGGAACATGTACAATTACGCCCTTCAACTAATACTCGTTCTCTTGCCACGTTTTAATTACGATCTAAATCCCATTGGATCAAACAAATCGAAATATATTAATTTGGTAATTAAAATACCAATGCAAATAAATTGCAATCCAATATTGATTAATAGCTATAAATTTTCATTTATACGCAAAAGTAAATTGTATTCATTCACTTATATAATTATGAAACGTTTCATTTTGATGAATATCAGCTTTTAACAAAGTGAAATGGCTCATCACAAATCGTACATAGTGATTTTCCCTAGGGATTTAACTCGTACAAATCATCAACGAACTCATAATAAGTGAACGAATATTTAGTTTTCGCCGCGAATTACTCCGTATTCATGAATCCCCAAAGCATAGAAGTTCATAGTGGCTTGACAATTAAAAGAACGGATTCGTACATAATTCACACGGGATAAATGGTTCTTTTTTCGTAAAATAAAAAATGAAGAGTTGTTATCAAAATTTGGAAATGCTTCATTGCATTTCATTCGGATGACGATTGACATCGAAACAGCATATCAAAACGTGCACATGAAACCTTTATAATTGTTAATCGCATTTGGCATATGGGTTTTGAATTTTTTTTTTTCGTTTAAAATTATATTTCCAGAGATTATTGGGCTAAATTATCAAAATTAATGAAGTTTACATTCGCTTTTTTTTGCCTAGTGAACATACGTTTTTATTATTTGGTTTTTTTTTTCTCAAATTATTCCAATTAGCCGGGGCAGGGTTCTTTTTTCACAATTGGAATGGTGAATTGCGGAACAGAACAACAACTTTTTACCGCCAAACATTATCTCCATTTAAACTTGGATCAAAGTGGAAATAACCTGGATTTTACACACGAAACATAAAACCATGCATTCATTGTATTTGAAGCAATTTGATACTCATCCACTTACGAGCGTATACTCGGTTGGTATATGATTCCTTGGTAAAACTTATTATCTCGTTTCTTTTTACGGGACAAACACAGTATTTTGTTAGCAGAAAAATTCATTTCAACTTCACCATCAGCTTGAGTTTCATTTTTACATACAAGTCAATTGCAATGCATATAAATATTATATATATTTCATGTTGAAATTAAATTTCATTTTATGCTGGATGTCACACACACACACACACACACACACACACACAAGTAGTAAATCGGCTGAAGGAAAAAATAAAGAATGTTCACTGTCGTTATAAGTAATTGAATCTGATGCGTACCGAAGAGTCATTTAATTTTTACAATACACACTACACTCACTATTTTGTTCCCTACCACCAAAGTAAATGGGTAGAAAACTGTGGAGAACAGCAGATGGATAATAAATGACATTCAATTCATAGAGGCGCCCGGCCAGAACTACAGTTCTTTTTTTGTTTTATCGCATTAATTGAATGCAAACCACATTGAAATGAAAATAAGACTCTAACTCAACCGCTCTTCTTTCTCTTGCTTTTGCTTCTACAGAATTTCGATGAAACTTCATCGCTGTTAACACAAATAAGATGCATATTATTTCAATACTGTTTCATTGGAGTATTGAAATAATACGAATTTACCCACAATCAATCACCTTATGAAAACAATTAGTTCATACAAAATAGTTGTAAAAATCATAAATAAGATGCTGTCACTGCTAAAAATAAAAAAAATAGAAACAATGGTCAGCCACAAACCTATGACAATCTTGTACACGAAACTGTGCATTTGCACGAGAGTGACACTTTGTTTAGTATGAAACATGCAAAAAAAAAAAATCCAACGAACAATGTATTGTTCCGCACTCTCCCGAGCTCGAGGAACAATCAACAACCACAACATTCACCGTTGTATTCTTTCTATTACCTGCAAACGGTTTCCTTCCGTCACTTTAAATGATAATTTTATTCCGTTTCATTGTGTTGGTGTAGTTTTTCGAAAATACATGAATATCAAACAACAAATATGTTAAGTTAGTTATGCATATATTGGTGAACGAGCATATGCGTTGTGTAGCATGTGTTCCAGTGCGGCACGTTAGATTGCTTTCGAAAAAATACCATAATATCTATGATACAATTATTAATCAGACGAACAAACATTTGGAAAGTTGAAAAAAAGGGAAAGTACATGCAGTCCGACACCTTGCAATTGAAATGTGTTTGTAAACACAGAGTTACAGGGGAAAATAACAACAACAACGACATGCAAAGGACAACTGTATGAGTGAAATCGAAAGGTTTGTAGTGTTGGTAATGAATGGGAACGTCAAAAACATGTGTATAGACTTGGTTGCGCTTGAAAATGGCTAAAGGACAACATACACCTCAAGCGATGCCATTTGCATCGAAACAAACGCTCAACATTTACAATGAGCTTAGTTTTTGTTTATAAATCTAAATAATTCTTGTCTCAACCTCATCAATTGAAATATGTGATAAATGTTGGCAATAGCAAAATTTTGCATCCACTTTTGGAGTGTCAATTGTTTCGACGTGTGTCAAATGCTTGCAGCATTGAGTGAGAAAAAGAATGGGAATGATGAGACAAAGAAAGAGAGTGGGAGACAGCGAGAAGGAGTCCTTTATATTGTCATAAAATATGAGTTTTTGTTGGTTGCAGTCTTGTATTTTTCTTTACGGGTTTCTTTTTTTGTTTCTTTTTTCCATAGTTGGTTTTTGTATGAAAAACGCCGCGCCGAGACTTGTAGATTTAATTTAATGCTCATTCAATTTGATAATTTCATTTCATGTTCCTATCGCTTCTTGCAATTGTTTTTCTCATTCATTTTACCTCTCTCTATTTTGATCATTTTTATTCACAGCCATTATTTCAAATAGTGTTTTGTCTTTATATTTTCTTCGGTTGGAATATCTGGCGATGATGACAGCGACAACGAAAACGAAAACGGTATAGTCTCTGTGCCCGATGGTGGATTTAATTCATTGCGTTCGTGAACAACAGCAACAGCAGCAGCAGCAACGTTTCTTTCATTACGTTCACATTTAATCACGCAGGATACCGCTGCAAATAAACAAACCCGAAAGTTTATTTGACTGAGGTAAGTGAATGGAAGTCAGGGGTTTCGAATGTGCTCGTATGATGAGTCAATGGAGTGTCTCTCTTGCGTATGGTTGTGAGCATATTCACGTAGAACTCAAACCAATCAAAATGACCAGGTGTGCCGTTTCTGTTGAATGTTGTGGGCAACGACGGCCAAAAGAAACCATGTGGTGCCTCAAAGGCAGAACGTTTTAATTGTCTTTTATTAGGATGTGTTCCGATGTGACCGATAGACCGACTATATTCTCTTTTATTGGCTGCATTTAATGTATCATACGAATTAGTTCAATGGACCAGTACAATGGTTTTGGTTGAGTCATTATTTGCTAGCGACTATGTGCGAATATTGGTGCCGTTGCATTGAATTATTGCAGCATATTCACTGATTTCAAATGTCTCATTGCACTTTTTTGCCATCAAGGTGCTGGGCTCTTTCATCTTATTGAACTTGAGCCGAATATGTGCATACGTACGTGTGTGTGTGTGTGTGTGTGTGTATTTGTTGACCGTTAATCGATAAACGGTTCACCAAACATGGTTTGTTTCAAAACCAAACCTATATTGCATCATTCCACCGAGAGAGAGCTAGTTGAACATCGTTTCTTTTTATTTCAAATGTTTTCCCAAATGAGTTTACAGTTTATTTTTGTGCACAAAATCTATGCATGGCATCGATTTGGACATATGTGTACGAGATAATGTTGTGCATAACGGGCCTCATGCGTTTTCAAATAGGCAAGGGCATACATGTGTGATGTACACAATGCATTTCATTCAATGCATCATATCAAAAGCCATCAAATGGACAATTCCCCGGATGTTTGCTCGATGCGTCGTCTATAGCGTGTTCTAAATCAAGCGTTCCATGTTTTTTTTTACAATCAGACACAGCCCAATAAAATGTCATGCAATCCATGATAACTTTTCACAATTTTATGTCCAAACATAACCTCCTATTGAAAATCTGTTGTCCTGCGTAAGAGCCTAATTTGATTTTGAGATACTCTTCGTATCGATCGCTCAATTTAACTGCTGCCTTAGGTTTAGTACAGCAACAGTACGCACGAAAATGTAATGACCACTGGATTTAGCTACACCGCTGAACGTTTTCAATCGTTTCCAAGCCAGAGATCGTACACTCCTTAACCATATTAACAACATACTACATCAAGGCATATTTTGATTATATGGGTAAGTAACCATTTTACGATAATCTTTAAATACGAATCGGCAATCGGTCGATAATAAAAGGTACCCACTGCATGTTTCCATTATTTGACTTCGTTTGCACACTTTGGCCATACGAATGTTACGTATGATGTGATGTGCTTCGTGTGCGTCATAGCTTAGAGGCGATTGGAAAAAAAAGAGGAAAAAAGAAGAAAAAGAGCGCAATCGGTCAAACGAGATGGGGTGAAAATCAAAAGCAATAAATTTATTTATTTATTTAAACGATTGAGAAAATGTTAATCACAGCTGCTTAGCCAATAAATAGTGTATATGTGTGCTATACCCAAACATATGAGCATCGATACTTTCGAATGATTTCGATGCGGCGCGAATATTAGGAATCGACGTTACTACTGTGTGCACAATGGCCCAAGAAAACTGAACTGATTTTTTCGATTTTTATTATTGGCAGGGGTATGCATGGGCACAAGGCGACGCCACCAGATTACATTTGGGAAAAATTATATGTGCGTGCTCTGTATCGTTCTGTGTCCCTGCTTGCGCTCGGTCCAAATCGATTGTAAATATGACATTCTTTATTGTTGTTTGCATTGTATTTATTTGCTGGCAATAGCGCCAAAAACTGGAGAAGGTTCTCTACCTTTTGCCATTTCATTTACCATATTATCTATAAATAGAAAACACGAGACTGTACCGTATTCACTTCGGGTTTTTTTTCGCCATCATTTTTCACTGAACTGAAAATTTGTAAACAGTGTCAGAAATCGATTAGTCATTCAGGAAATCGATCAACACGCGCTGAATGCATTCAAGTTTCCACTTTGATTTTGCCACCGAGCCAGATACACATGAAAAATCTCTGTAGTGATCGATTGACGACAATTTATTTTAGTTTTGTTCCCTTTGAATTTGATTAGTTTCTTTGAAGTTATTTGTTCTTTTTTTCCCTGAAATATTTTTCTCTTTTACGTTATTTTCAACATTTTTTTCAAGGTTCTCATTGTTGATTACATTTCAAATTGATTCGTGGGAAATTGAATGTTGCAGCGAAAAGTAAGTGAGAATAAAAAAAAACCTGTAAATTATTTATATAATTCGGCCCCAAGAGATTTGTGTTGCATAACATCTCATCAACATGCTTTCTTAGATGTGCGATAAAATAGTTATCAATACAGATCTAAATGAACAGATGTAAATGTTCTGGATACATGGTATCGAATGCGGGCACAGAGGGAAATCAGCATCGGTAAAAAATGCCAATGACTTTTGAGTTGACAATGAAATGAGGTTTTCAACAGCAAATTTTCTCGATTTATCCGACAGTCCATTTCGAGATTAAACACCATTTTAATTCAGAGAGAGAATGCTGTTAGCTACCCTCCGAGAATTGTATTAAATGCAAACGATTGTTGTAATTGTGTACCAGTCGCTGATGACTACAAATTATTCATTAAATTTGTTCGGAAACTTGATTTCGAACGAAAAACTGAATGTATGAATAATAATGCTTTGGAATCGATTTTCTTCTTGCTTGGAATCAAACACACACACCAAAAATGAAAATAAAGACACGAAAGTAAAAACTTTCTGTTTCAGTTGTGTGATGAGGTTAAATTTGTTCTTCTGTGTAACGTGTAACTATTATGTATGCAACGGTAGTTAAGTTTTACGATGGAATTCTTTTTCTTTTTGCTACAACTTCTTCCTCGTCGTTCTGCTCCGTTTCGCCTGCAAAAATATACGTTTTTTTCCTTCATTCGGGTGGTATCCCATCGCAACAGACGAAAAACGAACAGTAATTTTTCTTCATTCACAACTTTTATGTTTGTTCCACCTTGCCATGGTACAGCTGCTTGTGTCAGTTCCTGTTTTCGTTTTTATTCCCTCGCCTTTTTACTAAATATTTGATTTACATTTATTTCGATGTATATGTTTGTGAATCTTGGCAAAATTCAGCTGAATTTATGCACTTCATATTCCTGTTCTTTTCTGTTTTTTTCTTCTTTTCCCTTCTTTTATTCGTTTAGTTTGCCTTACATTTTCATAACTTTATTTTTTCGCGTTCCACTGTCTTGGATGCTGTGTATTTGCTTCGAAGATGTTTGCTATTACACCGTATTGCCAAACTTGTTGAACAAACAATGTCTCTCTTAAATAATACAAGCAATGAGAAAAATTGACGCGTACAAAGAACATACACTGTCAGTGAGTTGTTCACTGAATTAAAGCACAATTTGTACTGAACATATTAGCTTTTTTTCCACCACTTCCAGAAATCAAAAGCAAAAAAAAAGACGGCGACGACAACAACAACAACACCACCATCACACGAACAATAAACGAACATGACTCAGACCGAAAGCGATCGAGTTAAACATCACAAACTGGTAAGGCAACGAAGAGTTTTGATTGCAGTGATTCAAAACATATAACATTTACGATTAAATAGTAAAGAATATGCGAAAGGATTATTCGAATTTAGGGAGTCGGAATCTTGAAAATTGAACGGAAAACAAATGAAATTTTTTCAATTGTTCAATTTTTAGGAAATGTGTTTTGCATAATGCAGGCACCCCACGGAATTGCTTTTCGACATCCGATCGGTTTATAGATAAATCCGAAATTGAAAAATGTCAAATGGGGTTTGCCATGTCAATTGCAACATTCCATGATTTCTGCTTCGTGCTTGTTTTTTTCCATGCCAATTTCCGAATGAGCCAAAACAAAATCCAAAGTTGACTAAAATAAAATTCGACTCAAGCATAAATATTGAAAAATGTTTTGCGTCGATGGTACAGAAACTACAACACGAACGAGTATTTATTGTAACACTTATGCTTTCAAGTATCGATATTCGGGGCGTTCGTGCGATCG